AAAATAAAATAAAAAATATAAAGAAATGGAATAACAGAGTGAAGATAATAAATCACCACAGACTCAAACGTCACTACCACCCATCACAATATCACATGACGTCATCATCATCTTCTGCCTTGGTTCCCCCGTCGTTTGCGCCGGTTCCCGCGCGCGGGGGGGAAACCTTGAGCTGCCGTCAGGAGATGGAAATTTGCAAAAATGAACATCAAACACGAGTCCCCACGATGAGCGGCAAAAGCTCGGGCCCGTCCCCCCAGATATGGATTCTCTATCAAACACTCATTAATTTCCATGGCCTACAAGGGTTTCCCCTCTCGGGCGGGTCGTTGCAGCAATTCTACCAGCAGCGATGGTCGAGGACTCTTCTGGAAAGCGAGCGAAGACCGAACACAGCACTGAAAGCATGGAAATCTTACTTGAGCTCAAAGAACGCCTTCGTGCCCCTCCCACAAACGCTCGATCGTATGGGTGGAAAGGGCAAAAAGAAAAAGAAAAGGAAAAAGAAAAAGAAAAGAAAAGAAAAACGGATTGGGAGGGGGTGCTGAGAAATTGCTTTCTTCTGAAAAAGAAAAGAAAATATTCTCGCGAGAATCCTCTTGTGGATTTCTAATTTGCACTTATGACGTTTGATCGGGGTGGACTGGGTAAAAATATCGGTAAATCGCTTAGGTTGAGAGTTCCGTTCAGAAAGCGATTTGGAGCTCATGAGAGCTTTGAAGAAGCTTTCTACTTCAAAAATACACGGCTCAAGGAAATCATGAAGACAGATGACAAAATCTCTCAGCGGCCGATATTAAAATCGAAGAGAACAAAAAAAGGATTCGAACTCAGGCCAATAACGTGGGAACAGCAAACAAAGTGAAGAAAAAAGTTCTTTAAATGAGGAGAAAACCAAAGGTTTCGCATTACAATTGCTATCTCCTTCCTCTTACAAACCTATAAAGAAAGCGAAGAAGCTGTTATGGCTGCCAAAATGCCGTTCAAAATGGCTGCTCAAACGTTGTCGTCTGCCATCTCCAAAAGATCTGAGAACGTCTTTACTCTTTATTTGGTGTGGAGATCTCCATAAACAATGGTTTCCTTTATTAACGGGTGTTATTTTCCATCTAAAAGTGCAATATACAGGGTTATCAAGTACAATATTATACCAGTGAAAGATTTGGTCTAAATGCAGCCAGATGGCAAACTTTGGAACGGGGAAATGGGGTGGGTTTTTTTGAGGGGGGGAATTTTTAAAAATCGTATTAGAATTAGCATTAATCATTATTTTAGACACTTTTGACATTTAATTTCCTAACACTGATGCATACATTTGGAAAAAATCCATAGGCTTTTAAGAGTTGCAAAACTGATCCCTTTGTATTAACTATAAAAGAAGCCGTCTTTTGTTCAAATCGATGGAATCTAAATCAAAACAAACAAAAATGTCTCATCTTTTTTAACAAGAGAGTTTTGAGTTTGAGAAATGAGAAGCACATCGACACAGCAATGGTCATAATTCAGTGCTGGAAAAAAGTATGACAGACAGAAACAATAGAGAGAAGTGTTTTTAAGAAGGACCTACCAACCTCCCATGCAAAAGAGAATGCGCACAAAATAAAGAAAGAAACCAGGAAATAAGTCATTCAAAGTATTTTTTAAAGAAAAAAAGTTGTTAATTTACGCAGGAAGTATTCTTTAACTGATGCTTTTTCGGCTTACGTACTGAGAGGGAGCTACCTTCTAGTGCCGTTATCAATCATGTGGAGACATGCTATAGGTTTTTTGTCCGTTCTTTCGTTTCTCTGCTTGCTTTATTGTTGTTGTTGTTGTTGTTGTTGTTGTTGTTGTTGTTGTTGTTGTTGTTGTT